TATTATTTTTATTATCTATAATATTATATAAATTTATTAATATTACACACTAATATTATTATCATTAAATTATTGATGCTACAAATATTTAAAAATTAACATTATATTTCCTCAATTTTTTAATTAATTTATAATTAAAAATACATGTTTATTAATTTTAAGTTTTTTAATTTTCAAAATTACAATTAAGTAATTATTTGTTTGCTTAATAATTAATTAATTAATTAAAATATATTTAGCATCTTTATTATTTTATTTGATATTCAATTTGATATTCAATAAAAAAAAGAAGGAAAGCTATAAAAATAAGACATGATTTGCATACTATATATAAACGTAAAATAACTGAAAAATTATATATCATTTTTTAAATAGATTATAAATTTTAAAAGCTGGTAATTAAATTATACAAAACAGCTATTTGTATATATATTATTATACACATATAAATTATCTTCTATATTATATACAATATATTGCAAGACATATACTGTATGTAAAATTGATTGTAGAAAAACCTATTAAATAATTTGTTATTAAAATCAAATATTTGTGTGTAATTAGTATTTTTCAAATTATTTAAATAACTTATTCTGTAATAAAATCGAGAAAATTATAGTTAAGACACATTTATAAATTAATATATACTTATGGTTTATAGCAAACTATATATATATACATATATATATTGTCTATTTTGGCGGCCATTTCTCTGTCTTTATTTTTTGAAAAAGGTATGTTATATTTCTCTGGCACTGGTAGTTACGCTTAATAGACATGTGTCGTAATGCATAATTTTGTCATTAATAGCACACCGGCTTAATTGCCGATAGGCTTTTTGTTAGGCTAGTAATCTTAAGGCAATGGCTATGCAATGATCTCTCTCTCTCTCTCTCTCTCTCTCTCTCTCTCTCTCTCTCTCTCTCGCTTAACAACACTATACAACAGATTATACTATAACTTAATACAGTATATATACAGTACACATGTATGACATTATTTATAGTTCATTGAGATGTTTGTGTGATAATATACTCAATTCAAGTTAACGTTGCCATACATTTTTCGGTGTTATATAATATAATATATAAAATTGCTATTAAAGCATTGCATAGTTTTTTTTTAAAAAAGCTAATTACAAACATTGCAATCACATATACACATACACTCAAAGATGTTATATCAATGAGAAAACCTAATCGATATTTTTAGATATATTAATAAAATAAGCAAAACATAACAGCGAGAGAAGGCTTTTTTAAGCACACAATCTATCCGTATATTTCAAATAGCCTTCAACAACAAAATTTCAACTTTTTTCTTGAAAAAAATAATAAATTTTTAGATATATATATATATAAACTAGTTTATTAGATTTATATTAAAACAATTTTTTTTGGAATATAATTAATTAAAATATTTTTTTTTTTGAGAAAATATTAACACTTATTTTTTAACGAAACCCAACAAATATTTAATAACGTATATATTGTGAATCAATTAAATAAAATAATTTTTAAAGAAAACCTGTGTGTGTTTGTGTATGTATGTATGTATGGGGACAACCAGTGGCACCCCATCAGCCGGTTGTATAACTTTCAATTTAGTTTTTTTATTAAACAGTTTTTACTCCATACTAATAAAAAAGATCTCTTTTGACAATATATTGTATTTCTTTCAAAAATATTAAATACATTTAACTAATACCCATATTATACACATTGTATAGTTGAAGACACACGTATACTATATATAAACAGTATATACAATAGTGTGACACAACATTGGGAAAGGTGTCTACAGTATCCAAGTTATATATATATAAATTTACAAAGAAAAAGCAATTCCTATGACTACTACCAGCAAATGTCTATAGCTATAGGAGCTGGGAATTGAATCGGTGTGAGAAAGAAATAGGTACAGTATATAACATATATCAGAGCACATATACTGTGAGCACTTGGATATTGAGAAGTGCTTTTTATGAGGCATATGAAATTACGTGAAGCGTGACACTGCTTAATTTAAGCCTTGAAACAGGCACTGGTAGTATATATACAACCAGTGGTAAAAACAGGTATAAATTCTCTTAAAACTAAATATTATAATAATTTAACATTTGGCGGACACATACATACACACACATACATACATACATACACACACACACACACACACAACCATTTAGATTATGGGAGAGAGATAGGGAGGGAAACACTCTCTCATATATTTTAAGGCATTTATAATTGAGTTGAATTATAAATATAATAAAATAAAATAATGTTTGATTATATAAATTTTTGGTGTTAAATATAATACATATTTCTTTTTGTTGCTATATTATTATTAGTAATAATATACAATATACTGTATATCCCATAATGTATTCATAATTTATGTTATTATACAGCATTTATATAGAATAAGTGTGCTTTTATTAGAGATAAATTCACTAATTATTGATCTAAATTTGCCGATCATTGATATTAATATTAGTTTTGTATCATTATTTTTTAATACAATTTTTACTATTAGTACTATAAGTACTAGTATACCATATTTTYCATAAATAAGTAGATAAAGTAAAAATATATGTATAATATATGGAAAAAGTCCAGTAATGCTAACCCTACCCCTCATTATGTAATGCATATACTGTATTGCAATTTCATAATCACAGAAACAAATGATTATAATATTATATGTCATAACAGCGGCACAAAAAATAACATAAAATGCATATCATTTAAATAGAGAAAATGAATTATTAGTGTATTATTAGTTATATATTTAACTAATTGTTTATTAACTAACATAAAAACGAGAGTCTAATTGAAATACAGCACTAAAACAACAACAAGAAAATCCTAACGACATATTAATTGCATATTTCTTGTGTGATCTCCTTTTTGTTGTTATTTTAAACACATTTTTATATTCATACAGATATATACTTAAGAGCTAATCATATATGAAAATTAAAACAAAAATAATTCGGATGTTTTCAAAAATTTTACTTTTAATGAATCATATTTTTATATATAATATAATATAATCTTTTTAAAAAATGAATTACAAATTTATTTTATCAATTATTTATATTATTATCATTAATGTTATTTAGTTTATATTATTTATTTAACATTACGTTTTTCTGGTAGATTTTAGTCAACAAATCAAAATTGTAATAAAAAGACAAACATATCAAATATTTTTTACAGTTTTTCAACATAAATTTTAACTATTATTTTCTAAAAACAATATATTATTTAAAAATGGGTTTTATATAATATACAGGTATTTAAAAACAGCGGAAATAAAATACAATAATAATAATAATAAATTAATAATAAAAAGATTTGTATATTTTGTGTAAATTATAATTAATAATTAATTATTTTTAATCGTTATAATAATAATAGTAATTATTATTATTATATATCAAATAAAAACAAATAATAAATTTATTCTGGTTTTTCTGTGTGTATTTATTGTTTTTATTATTAATAATATTATTTCACAATTTATATCTACAATAATATTTATAATATATTAATTTTTGTCAAAATTTATATATTTATATAATAAAATGCATGCAATTTTATTACTCAATTTTTTAATTTTAAAATCTATAAGAAATCTGTTTGTCTTTATATTTATCGAATGAAACAAAATGAGAGGACATATGATGGGACAGGTATGGGGTATGGGGTATGGGATATGAGGGTTGGATTATGTTATGATATAATTATATTTATATATAAATCAATCAGGGCTATTTATCTATTTTATATAATAATAATAATAATCTTATATAATAATAATTAGTTAATAATAATAATAACGTTTTGAGTTACAGCTCACCCATAGTTTTCAAATGTGTGTGATTTCAGTGTCTCAACAAATGAATTGTTTTGAAAAATACATAATTCAAATGTCTTGTGAACTCAATATGTGATAAATTCAATAAATTTTGATTTATATAATGAATGGCAATTGAAATATAATACATGAAAAGCACAAATAGTTTTTCAGTCAGTTATATATATTTCAGTCAATTGTTTCACTTAATTATTTGAACAGTTGTGTTGTTGTTGTTGTGGTTTCTTGTGGTGCCGTTTTCATAGTCAGTTGTCTCACTTCTCTTTTCTCATTCCTGGTGTTTATGTCCGATGATATGGTTGTTATTATTGTTGTTGTGTGTTGTCTACTGACGCCTCCTTCAAGAAGACCCCTCACCGGCTGACCGATCGATGAAAACATTTTTCTCATATTTTATTATTATTGTTAAAATTGTTTTTATTATCGTATTATTGTATTATCTTTGACTATTGAAGTTATTTGGGCTGTTTGTTTGTTTACATCCCATTCACATGTATGTCCTCTGCTAGCCCGCGCCCGACACACTGTTGGTGTCCATTATCATCACCTAATCTTTATTTCCTTTAGCTATACATTTCTCTATCTTTTGTTTTTCTATTATATCTGAAACTTCATAACCACAGTAGTAATTGTGTGTCTAAAGGATTGGCCAAATAAAGCAATGACAGAGTGTCTTAATCTAGTGTTTGAGCCCATGGCTTATCCAACCACAGTGTGTGCACTAATCTATACATGCAATCAGTTATATATATATATATATATTTCTCTTCAAATATAATATATCTCTTGTGTGTCCTTCTCATCAACTCTTGTGTGCCATAGATAAGTCATATACAGTCAATGGTTTTATACATATATATTACATCTACATATACAGTACATACATACGGACAGTCGTGTTGAGAAGGGAGCGCTCATTATATTCTATAGACTTAGCCTTCAATAACATTAGGAATGTTTGCCAAAGAGGTATAATAAGAATTATATTAATAATAATAATAAATAATTTAATAACATTTTGTCACACATTTTTGTTTGAGAGCACACATTATGAATCAGTTTATTATTAATATTATATTCAATACTTTTGTACACATTTTTAATAAACTAAAAAGTTATAAATCATTTTGTTTTGTATTTTTCTTACAGTAATTATATTGAGTTCATATGTCATATAGTTTATAGTCAATAATGAGGTTGTGGTGAATAGGGAGGGCTGTGTGAGTGTGGATGATGTAGTGGACTGGTGTGGTGGCCACCACTGCTATCGTGTGGACTCATCATCATTGAGCCATCCATTGCACCGTTCGGTGGAGTCATCCTTTTCTCTTTCTGTCGTCTATTGCAGAACCAGACCCGTACCACCTCTTTCTCGAGCTGCAGATGTTCGGCCAAAGCCGTGATCTCCTGAGCCGACGGTTTCGGCTGTTTATGGAAATGTGTTTCGAGGGCGCCCTTCACCGACACTTCAATACTAGTGCGCTTCTTGCGTTTGCGTCCCTGTGCGGCAATTTTGTCTATACTGGTCGGGGAACCGGTAGTAGAATCGGCCTCTTCTAACCATTTGGCGAGTAATGGCTTCAGTTTACACATGTTTTTGAAACTCAATTGTAAGGCTTCGAAGCGGCAAATCGTTGTCTGAGAGAAGACATTGCCGTAAAGGGTTCCCAACGCCAGACCAACGTCTGCCTGAGTAAAGCCTAATTTGATTCTTCTTTGTTTGAATTGTTTGGCGAACTGTTCCAAGTCGTCACTCGATGGCGTTTCCTCTTCGCCAGCACTTTCCGAGTGTCTGTGATCGGGATGCAGACCTACCGAACCTCTGTCATCGAGCCGACCGTCCAGTCGCGACAGTTCATTATGAAGACTGAGGTCGCCTCTCATGGCCGGGTGTAGGACTTGTGAGGGACCATTGCCCTGTCCCGTATGGGCTAACATACCGTTCATGCCGTAGCCGTGATGTTGTAGAGGTGATGAGCCGTTACTGTGAGGGGTCATTGCGGTCATATGGGCTGAGGAGGCGTGAAGTGACGACGGATGCCACGGATGCGACGATGCCATGTGTTGTGGCGTCCGGTGGTGCGCGTGAATTGACGCGTGCAGATCGGCACTCGACGGTCCATTCGGTTTGATGTCCTGATGATGCAGACCGTGAATGGCCGTCGGTGTCCACGGACTCATGTTGTCTGTTGTGTGTGAAGGCAATCCCACAGCCCACTGATGATGGGCACTGAGCGCGTGTCCATTTGGACTCTGGGTATGGTGTGGCATATATTTAAGTTCAGGCGGTTCGCGCCCGTAGGACATGTTCTGTGTGGCCACGGCTTGCATTATGTGCTGATCGTGATGTGACAGATGGTTGAGGTAGGGAGACGAGGAACCGGTGGCCATAACAAGTCTATAATAGACAACAACACTGCACCCCAAAGATGCACTATTGAGTTAGTGGTCATCAGCACATCAATCAGTTTTATATAAATAATCAAATATATTATAATATTTGAGAGACAAAAACAATTATTATTAAATTTTGTGTTATTATTTGTTTTTTCAAGATTTCAATAAAAATTTATATATTAATTATAGAAAAAGTTAACTTTTAATATAATAATATTTTAAATATTATTTATGACTTTTCAGCACAACTCTTATATCACGAGCCGATTAGTGGAGGAGAGAAACAACAAAAATATCGGTTAAAAAACTTTTTTTTGCTTTATTTTCTAATAATATTAATAATATTTTTGTTGATATTATTTATTATTTATTAGTTTATAATCGATTGCACAGAAAAATATATTAAACTTAATTATTATTAATAAATTATGAGATTTTTGTTGTTTTTTTTCTCTCTCTTTACTCTCCGTTATATTAAAAAAACTCGTGTTTTTCACTCGTTTTCAGTCAATGTTAATAAATTAAAATATTTAACTCAATAATTAATGCAAATATTATTAATTTAAATCATAGCATATCATAACTGTTTTTAATAATATATATATAAACACACATTGTATATGAAAAAACTCTACGACTGTATAATCAATTTGTAACTCTTGGCGTTCAGCACTTGTATGTTTAGGTTGTTTTTTAAGGCTTAAGCCCCGACATCAGGAGCATTGAAATGCCAGAGGAATACTGAATATATGATAAGGAATAGCCGTACAAAATACTGGTGCTCTCCTCTATCGAGAACCTCAAAGCCCAGCGTTTATTACTAACAAAACTGAATGATTTAGAGGACTGTTAGCATTGCGGACACACATAGCATATATACACCATCGCTTTCAAACAGTCTTAACCATAGACTGAAGCGATCACTGTCTGCGCCACAATACCAACGACAGACCCCTGAGCTTAAGCACCAGTTGTGAGGGAACGACATTTAAAAGCAGAGCTTATAGTATTGGCATTGGTCGGTATACCGGTTCTCGAGCTAAACAGTCTCTAGTCATCAAAGCCCAACCCATTTGCGGAGCAAACCAGTGCTTGTATCTACACAAGCGCTGATGCCTAACAGCGCCCCCCAATGATGTCTACCAATCCCTGATAGAGAAGGTCATGAAGGGATCACCACAACTGTATCTATTGATATTGCTATTACACAACTGCTGTGTCAAAGCCTAAAAAGCGGTGATATGGGGGCCGACAGTCACGTACACGCCCTCTGACAGTGATCGATGCCATCCGACTCCAGCACTCATGTCTGTGCTTCACCAACAATGGGGCGGACTCTCACTGTGTGTCTCAACATTGCCTCAAATGCATGACTGAAGAAGTGCTTCAGTTGTTGTATTTTACTGATGTCTACACACAAACACATCGGTAAAGGCATCGACTCTATGCCAGCATATCTGCCAACACTGTAAAACACTGGTCGCTAACTAACAGGTGCGCTATCCTATCGTTTTACAATTTGACTACAAAAAAAACTCATTGCACTGACAAACATTGACACAACAATCACAGACAAACAATATTATATAATATAGTGTACATACAATACTTTACTGTATATCTAAATCTATAGTTATATAATAGTAATAAAATAATGATAATAATAACAATAATACCGAGTTTTGTGTATCGATATCAAAGCAAATATAAATATCAGTGAAAACTCTAATTTCAAATCATATAATAGTCATCTAATCTTCAAATATAATAGAGTTTTGTATACATTTGTAGTCTATATATATACTATATATATAGATATACTGTATTATATAAAAAAAAATTTCAACAGAGAATTGACAGCAAATAATATAAGTTATAGAAAATCAATTAAATTTGTTATCAACATATAGTTTATATAAAAACACTATATTTGAGTCATATATTTACTATTTTACATTGATATATTTGATATATAAATACAAAATATTAATACAAATATTAATAAAATATGAATATTTTTATCTTAATAAAAATATAAGTTTATATATAAAAAATTATATTTAAATCTAATATTTATTGAATAAAATTCTGGCAAAAAAATAATCTCAATTTAGAGACTTATATGCCATCTATTGGAGTCTCTAAACATATTTAAGTTGTAATAAATATTAAATATTAAAACTTTTCGAGACATTATAGTAATAATCAGATAATAATTTAAGCAAATATAGTCATATAAAAAATGCTAAATAGATGCAATGAATACTATTATTAATAAAATATTAATATTACAAACAATTATATTATATAATATAATGTGTAAGCAATCATCACTTAATTTATTTATAATATGAAGTGTCAAAAATTGCATACATTTTATGCAAACATTAGCCACAAAATTCACATTACATGCTTGAGAAAAAATCATATCAAATATTTTATTTATATAATATATGTTGAATTAATTTGTATGTTTTTGTTTTTTAAATGAAATGATTTGTTTAAATTATATTTATAAACACCATATATACATACAAACATACATTAATTATTCAATAGTTTAGGCGCACTTTTGAATAACATATTTAAGGCAAACATATAATTATTTAAAACATATTGTGAATAAATAAATGCTATTATAATATGAATCAATCAGTCATATTATATTATATAATATACATATAACAAGCTATTATAATAATGTATATTACATAATAAAGTATGTATTTTATTCAAAATACAATACTGTTTAATAATACCTCTAACACTAATATTACAGTTATATAGAAATTTATTAAAATTTATTTAATCAAATATTTAATATTAATATAAGAGTGTGAGAGATGTGCTGAAAAGTTTATTTAATAAATAATAATTTTGTTTTAAAATATAATTTTTTCATATTTTCTTCTTTTTATATCTATTTATAAAACTGTTATTTAATGAATTAAAAAAAACTTTTGATAAATATTAGTTTTATATATTTAAAAATGTGATTTTAATGGGTTATAAACAATAAAATTGTTTTAATCTATGTCTGTCTAATCACTCACCAACTATTTTGTTATAATATAATCTTAAAATTTAAAATATATTAGATGAAGAGAGAGAGAGAGAGAGAGAGAGAGAGAGAGAGAAGAGAGAAACAAAAAAATAGACATAAAATAATACTTTAAAACTTATTAAAAATATATAAATTCATTGAATCATACCTTTGCTGATCTGGTGTTGGCTTATCTGTGAAGATATTGACGACAATAACAACTTTTCGTTTTTCTTTACTTGTCTTTCACTTATTAATATTTGATGATTTGACAAATTTATATGACTTATATATATTATGTGATGATGTGAAACATTAAATGACAAAATCAAAAATAAAAGTTTTCTGATTTTTTTATTTTTTTTTCTTCTGCCTCTGACTTCACTTATGTCTTTGCAAATGAAGGCAAAAGTCGACAAATACGGAGTCAGATATGGGGAAAGTCGACCAAAAATGAGAAACGTTGCAAAATATCAAGTGCTCGACTAAAACAACAAGTTATATGTCTATATATATATTGAATATATATATAATTTCTTAATGTCTCAAATATAGTGTGAAACACACGGCCAGTGAATGTCATTCATTGAACAAACAAATACAATATACTATTATGGCTTTTGATGTGTATATTACGTTCAGCTCCGGTGTTTCAAATAGAATCGTGAGATTAGGTTTTTRGTATATACAGTACAATATGCCAAGTGCTGGTATATGATGGTTGGAAAAAAGTACCGGTGCTGGCAGTCTAACTTTGTATTGGCGATAGTGAGGCCCAATTTAACAAAAACAAAAAATAAATAAATAGTTGACAATTATATTTTTTCAACAATTTTTATATAAGTTGTATATAATTGAAATATAAATATATTTTTTGCTTTGTAGGCATGACAACGACAACCTAAATAAGCAAAGAAATATCAAGTGTGAGTCTCTTAATAATACTATTGAAAAACAATATAAAAATTGTAATTTAACTAACATTATATACATGTATCAATAAGGTATAGATATATTAATGTGTCCTGTATTACCACCACCTAAAAAAAGTATAGATATCATTAGGAAACTGATAGATATAATAAAGTATCTTATATATCATTGTATGACTGATATGTCTATAATAGTCGATGATATTATTTGAGAATATCAATACTATACATAAACAACAATAATTATTAACTACATTACTTGTAGACTACAAGTTGTAGTTAAGTATCTTATAGTCGTATATATATTTTTATACAAAACTATATACTGTATAATATGACTTTTACGACTTCGAGAAAATATACACTAATATTTCATTTATAACAACAATATATTAATATACAGTATATATTGTATATATAAATCTATAAATTATAATTTGATAGCTGTATAATAGAGAATCAAACAGAATATATTTAACTGTATTATTATTTGGTATATACAGTATATATACAGTATATATACAGTATATATATCGACACACTTGTGAACTCATCACAGAATTCAATGGAAAATATGAAATAAAAATGTTTTGTTATTTTTATCACTATATATGATATATAATCACATACGTAATGATTGAAATATGATAAATAGCTGATTCACCGAAACATTCAAACCATAGTTTTGATATTAAATATAAATTTAAACAAAAGTTAATAAACAAGTTTTATTAAACAAAAAAAACAATAAAAATCTAAACCAAAAGTTTTTACATTGTATTAGTTTTGTAGCAAAACTTTAATTATTATTAACAACTAAAAAAATTTCGTAATAATATGACTCTCACTAATTTTTAAAAATTAATATATAAAATATAATAATAATCTTTGTAAGATATAATACTGTTAAAAATTTAATAGCAAAAAACTATAAAATTGTTATTATATAATATACAAAAATTTTATAAAATATATATTAAATCTAGAATTTTTTAATGAGTTTACAAAGAAAAAAAAATTTTGATCATTACTTACCCAATAAAAACATTAATTTAGAAAACTGTTTACAATTGACGAGTCATATTATATGACAATAATTTTCACGTATAATATCTAAAAACACATAAAATTAAAATCAGAATTTTTTTTGAGTCAAAGAATTTTATGCAATGGTTTGCATTCATTGACTATTAGTTGAGAGAGCGATATATATATATATATTGAGCTCTTATTGATGTTATTAGGACTGAGAGGTATCCGTCTGTTTGCAAAAGCTTTTGAACACTGAATGATTGGTTGTGTGTTTGAGAGAGAGAAAGAGAGCACAGGGAGATAGAGGGAGATATGTATATATATATATATATATTATAGCTTACATTTTGTGAATGAGAAGTAAAAGAGAAAGAGACAGAACAGGATCCTCAGGATTTGGCAAATGTCTTGAGCCGACATTAACATTGAGCTCAACTACTACTCTCTGGCACTCGTAGTCAACAGCACCGTCATAATGGCAAATACATACCATATATATATATATATATATATATATTGAATATAAGTTTATATGTTTGCTGGCATACGGTGTGTGCACATATAGCTGACTGACTGGCGAGTAGTCATGCTATCAGTTTGTATAGCAATAGCGCACAGCACTGGCAGAATAGGCAGCAAAAAACTGATGAAATTATGACTATCACTGACTTAGAAACACCTATAATAACATATCGCCTGAAGCCGGCTATTGAAAATAAGTTAGTTATCTATAGCTATGAGTGCACACTCGTCATTGCTATTACACTGGCACTGGCGGGTTGTGAACGGCATATACAGTACACATACACACCACATGAATACACCATTCAAATAACACGAGTGTTTATAACTTATATATATTATTTCAAATTCTATCAAAAATTGACTCAAAAAAGCAGTCAAAAGCTAAACTGATATCTGACTGTTCCCCTGCCCTCCCCTTTCAATAAGTAATTTTGAACCATCACTTGGTGTTCGCAAGGGCTCAGTTGCTTAGAAAAAAACTGGCTAAATGTCGGCGCCTAAAAACTACAATTCAGACCTGTCGGCAATAGGAGTGGCCACTCCTTTATTATCTAATTTTTAAACACAAAAATTTTATATCATATCTAATTCTCTTCTTTTCAATTTTATTGATAATACCCTATCATCTCTCTCTCTCTCTCTCTCTCTCTCTCTCTCTCTCTCTCTCTCTCTCTCGACATTTAATGCACATTAAATAGCTTATGATTTCTGTGGAAATTATTAATTGATGAGTTATTACTAATATATATAAAAATCACTGTTTAATATAGCCCTTAAAGGCGTAACCCCCACCATATAATGATGATAAAATGGGAGCACCGATGATGATAGTGTGTGTGTGCCTCCGGTTTTGACACAACGTATGCAAAATTACTACATATTATATAATATTTAATTTTATTGAAAAGACATATCTAACTAATCGATTATTATTAATATCTATAAAAGTCATTGCAATCTTTCATTAATATTATAAAGTGAATGTCTTATAAGAAACCCTTTTAAATTTTTTAAAAAAAAATTTCTTTTAGTTTATGTTCACTTAAGTGATGCCACCAATTATTATATATATATATATATATATATATGATATGTTTGAGATCAAAACTAATTCACTGCACACACAAAATAATTATCTCTTCATATACTGTATATACTGACTCATTTGAAAATGTTTTTAAAATCATTTTTGTTTGTAACTATAATTTTGTTTTAAAATAGTGTCTCAATTGTATTTAACTCGAAGCCAAAAGTTAGTAATGTATTAATGTTTAGAGTTTGTATAAAAACTTTAATATATCGTTAACTTTATTGCAAACTTATATATATATACTACAAATACAGTATATTATACATACAATGTTTTGCTGTTTAGAGGGAGGGATAGCTTTCATAGATAAAAAGCTTTATATTAATAAAACAAAAATTGTTTTTTGAGAAATTACTTAACATTTGTGTATCAAACGAGTTTGACTTATAATATTAAAAAATTCTTTTAATACACACAACAACAACAAAAGTTAAAAACAAATTATTACTTTTAGACAATCATTTGATACATTAATTAAGGTACTGATGTAAACATACAATCAAACAGAGTATTTCTATATTATATGTACAGTAGAAATATTTAAATAAACATTTTATAAATTGTAGTTTATATTTTGATTTATCATAAAAGAGATGTCGAGTTATAATAATTAATGATATTTTTTTGAAGAAAATATTTTCTTATCGATTAATTGATCACATATTACAATATGCTGTGGCAAAAAATGATACAATAAAAGGGTTTATATATTTAGTAACAATATTATTGATKACATTAATAGTATAAAATCGTATATTCATGTATAGTATATATGATTTGAGATGTATTTATATTTTAAAGTTTAGTTAATATTTTGAATGCTTAAAGAGCAAGAAATTCTTGTTTTTCATGGTTTAGTGTTTATGTCAATTAAAATATACTGTGTATTGAATTTATAATAAAAAACATATTTTGATATTATTATTATTTTTTATTGCTTATTAATAAAATAATTTTTAATGTAAGTTAACATACGTATTTTAACGGAAATATAATTTTTTAGTTTTTTAATTAGTATGTGCTCACAATTTTTATTATGAATTGTATTGAAATTTTATTTCAAAAAAAATATTTAATCATTTAATTTTAAGATATACAATTAAATAGTAAATACAATATTTTTCTAAATTTAAGATAAATATATATAATTGTAAAGGTATATTACTAATATAATATCAGGCAATGATTAATAGTTTTAGATCTATAGATCAATGAATAGATTTTAGTAATTTATTGTTATTTATGCCACAATTTTTGGTTTTTGAGGAAAAACTTAAGTTATTTATAAAGTAATATTTAGTATATTAATATATATAAATAGTAATATACTAAATACAGGTATATAAACTGAATGTGTTGTGTTGTGTATGTATAACATAACAAATCAAATAATAATATTTATAGCTTAAATAATAAAACAAAAAAAATGTTTAATTATTTTTATATTTGAAGACGACTCACATTATTAATACATGTGATATTTTACAGCCCATGTAATCAAATCGTGTCGTATCCTCCCTCAGCCCTAACATAATAGTTCATGCATTTTATGTAAACTTTCCTTTAGTTCGAAATAAGAAAAAAATAATTAATATTTTTTGACTCTAAAAATATTGTATGAGTTGTAATCGTTTTTTTTGTT